TAATTGTCAACACTCTCAGACAATTGACAACCCTCTGACGCAACTTGCAACCCTATCAGACAGATTGCAACATTCTCAGACAATTGACAAGACTCAACTTGCCAGACTCTCAGATAACATACAACGCTCTAGAAGAACTTGCAACACTCTCAGACTACTTGAAACACTATCAGACAATGTCAACACTATCAGACAGTTGACAACTTTCAGCACTATACAACATTTTCAAGCAACATATAACACTCTGAAACAACTCTTGCAACACCCTCAGACGACTTGCAAATCCTCAGACAACTCACAACATTTTCAGAAAACTCTTACTTTGTCTTTTCTATTCCTGCATTAAAAATTTTATACATTGCTAATCATATTAAAAGTTACACTTCACCCATTCTGTAAATAAACCACTACAACAACTTTTTTTAAAAAAGTCATTCATCTTCATATCCCTTATATTTGAGAGACTTTGCAAATACATCATATATATATACTTAGGTACATAAAATATTTATCCGGTATTTCTATCATCACAACAAATCGAAGGTCGAATTCAAACAAATGAACTGAGAACTCGAGCTGGTCGATACAAAACAATTACCAAAAAACATAATAATAATAATAATATGATACAGACATGTAATTACTAACTATAAAACGAATTGACAACAAATTAATTTTGGATCGTCCAGCGAGTAAGAGTTCTTAATTAATTAATTAGGAGTCATTTCATTTGAAAATCTTATTTAGATAACAGAAACATTTAAGTCTATGTAATGCCAATACAGTTTAATTTCATTATCGAATTGATGTTGTGCCAGTACACGTACAAATAAATATATTATATATATATATATATATATATATATATTATGATGCTGAATTTGATGTTGACATATGTATTAACAAAGTCTAGTAATCGAGCATAACATAAAAAAAAACATGAATTTCTTTCAAAAATTTATTTTAAATCCATACGTTTGGGCTATAATCCTAGTCTTCATTCAGTGGAAACTAAAAATAAAATTAAAAACTAAAACAATTGAATCGGAGTGAAAAGAAAAATTATAAAGAGTAAAAAGTACTTGCAATTAGTTAATCCTAGTGTTAAATTGTAAGATTTTAATAATCCATTGTATGAGGATATGGTAATGCACTACACTATGTATTATAAACATTAAACCCGTAATTACACAATATTTTCACAAAATATTAATTTAAAAAATCACAATTGGATAGTGTGTTGTTCGTAGACTGGTTAAAGATATAATGGAGAAAGGACTTTTTAAAAAATATTTTTTACACATGTGTGGAAACCTGACTCAGAAACTCATTCTGGTGTAATATGTTTGCCATACATTAAAGAATTGTATGTTCCTTGGAAAAAACTTTTTTATAAACTTGGACTACGACTTGTAAACAATTTTAGTACAACGACTAGTACTATTTTTACCAAAACAAAAACCCCTTTTAATATCGAACGACTTAGAAATCCCGTCTATCAAATAAATTGTCTAGATTGTAATTTAATTTACATAGGAGAAACAAGCCAGAACTTAATTAAACGTTTACAACAACATAAAAACAATTCAAAAAATCTGAGACAATTTAAAACTATGATTGCGGAGCATATTTATACTTTAAAACACAATATGGACTTTTCTAACCCGACTGTACTACAATTCGAACAAAATTTATTCAAACGAAGAATTATAGAAGGACCTTTTTTTTAACTATT